ACATAACAATAACAACAACAAGGAGCTCTGGTAGCATAGTGGTTACGAATCAGACTATGAACCGCAAGGTCAGAAGTTTGAAACTACCAGCTGCTCTGTGGGAGAAAGATGAGGCTTTCTGCTCCCGTAAAGATTTACAGCCTCGGAAACCCTGTTCAGGGTCACTATGGGTAGGAACCGACTCTACAGCACTTAACAACAACAAGTGCCCTCATATATTTTCTACAAGAAACACAGCAACAAATGACTAGACACTTACTCGAGGCATCTTCTGTCAGGTTGTTTTTATCTTCGGATTTTGACAGTTTTCTTTTGGAAACCATTTTTACCAAAGTCAAATTATTTCCTAGAAAAAAATCACAAATTTGCAGTCATTCTCTAGATACTAGAAAAATTGAGAAGTTAAAGCTATAGAAAACCACTCTATCTAAATCCAGGGAGGTTCTAGTTTTTATACTGCAGTTGTTGAGTGCCGTGGAGTCCGTTCCGACTCACACTGACCTTATATAGGGCTTTCAAGGAATGGCTGATGAGTTCAAATCAACTTGTTGTCCAGTGCTTTACCCTACAGGGCCACACTAGGACTAACATTGCCTATATCCTGGTGCTGGGTACATTTCACTCCTATATCTGGTCAATACTCCGTGCTTCAAAGACTTCCTTAGATTACCTTCATGTTGCTGAGGGACAAAACCCACAGTTCTGTGACACTGAAGATCCTTCATCATCTATCCCCAATCTATGTCTCCTTTAACTCATTAATTCAACACTGTATGCCAGGGACTGAGCTAGATGCGAGGGTTACAGTTATGGACAAGATAGGTATGATCCCTGGCCTCAGGAATTTACTGGTTAGTAAGGGGTGCTACGATTGGATCAGCTATCAACACTCATGGAAGCAGCAGTCAAGAAATCAAATGACGGATTGCATTAGGCAAATCTGCTGTGCAAGACCTTTTTAATGCGTTTAAGTGCAAAGATGTCAGTTTGAGGACCAACATCTAAGAAGTCATGGTATTTTCAACAGCTTCATATGCATGTGAAAGTTGGACAAGGAATAAGGAAGACCATAGAAGAATTGATACATTTAAGTTATGGTGTTGGAGAAGAGTATTAAAAGTACCACAGACTGTCAGAGGAACAAACAAATCTGTGTAGGAGAAGTACAGCCAGAATGCTCCTTGGAAAATAGAATAAGCAGAGTTCGTCTCTCATACTTTGGACATACTGTCAGAAGGGACCGGTCCCTAGATAAGGATATCATGCTTGGTAAAGCGGAGAGTCAGAGGAAAAGAAGGAGATCCCCAAGGAGATGGACTGGCACAGTAGCAGCAGCAGTGTGCTCAAGCTGAGATTGGTGCAGGACCGGGCAGTGTTTTGTTCTGTTGTGCATCAGGTCATTATGAATTGATATAGCCTGGATGGCACCTAACAACCACAACAAGTGACGCTATGAATGATTATATGTAAAAATGCTGTCTAGTTGGGGGAGGGGTAGTGAAGAAAAGCAGAGACAATTTCTCAGGGATAATCTTCTGGATAAAGTGATTTTTAAGAAGGGGCCTGAGGGTAGAAATAGGAGTTAACTAGTATAGGAAGTATGATAAGAATAGTTCAGGCAGAGAACAAACAAGATGGAGGGTTGGGTGGACGTGTAGCAAAGAGCTCTGCCAATAACAACACAGAATAGCCAACCAAGCAGATACAGAGGATGGTTCCAGAACTCTGAACCACATATAATGGAATATTTAGAAGCTTGGAAGGCTTACAGCTGGGGGAATTTGCGACAGAAGTAAGAAACCCATTGCTTTGTAGTTCGGATGCTCAGCTGCTCCAGGAGCCGCCATCTTGGATGAGACCACGCGGGGGAAGGATTGGAGTGGCCACAGACACCTGGCAGAACCGCTGAGATAAAGGAAGAAGAGT